TTGAGTGTTCCTTGTAGTTCTGAAAAACACTTGATAGCATCTGGGTAACTGTCTCCTGGACAACCGCTGTCCTCAACATATCCGCCATTAGGATTAATTAACAAGTCCACACTCCACAACCAATCCTTCTGCAAGGGCTATCTAGTAATTTTTAAGAGAGATAAATGTTAGAAATTCAAGGATACACATAGGGCTAATAGAGTAATCAAAATTCAAGTATGAACAATGAGATGAATGGCAAGGCATGACATTTCTTTTCTTTTTTTTATTTCCTACTGTCTTTTTGTTTTTTTATGTAAGTGGAGCATGGTTTTCACAACCTCTCCTCGTCGCCTCCCTGGGCGATGGGAGGAGCGAGCCCACCCTGATTGCCCAGCCCCGGCCGCCATCGCAACCATCCAGTGCGCGGCGGCGGCACCAAAAATCAGGCCCGTGCGTAAATTTGGACACCGTACCATACGAAATGGAAGGGCATATCCACCATACACTCTAACAGTGAATACTCACAAAGCAAAGAGTTAAGTTGTTGCGGTGAACAATCTCGGACTGGGGGCGGAAATAGCTAAACATCAAACTGCATGTTTCCCTCTGAAATCAAAGCCATGCATGAAACCGGCCGGCTCTTGAAGACTCCTCTTACTTGCTCCTTCAACCCAGTCCTAAAACAAATTAACTCATAGAGTTGTCCTAAGACAAAACTATTTTTTTTCTAACTTTATTAATAAGAGTATTAACATCTATGACACCAAATAAGTAGACTATAAAAATGCACCATCCGTTTCAAATTCTAAGACATTGTCTTTTTCCAAATATATTGCTTTTACTAAGTACCTACACATAGTGTATATCTAAGTGCATATCAAATACTATGTACCTAGAAAGATCGAAATGTCGTAAAAACGGAAGAAGTACATTTTATAACGTAGCTCGAGACTATTTTGGTATAAAAAATATTGGTGCACTTTTTTTATGAATCTGATCAAGTTTAAGAGGGTTTGACATTGAGTAACTCTAGAAGTTGAGTTATTTTGAAATAAAGGGAGTCATGCATGATTACATGAGTGCAATTCTTCGAGACCTCATGCATGACTCTTTGATTGTTTGGTGCAAACACGGAACAAAAACACTAGTCCTTCGTGAGGTGGAAGAAAAGATTGTCTCTCTTTTTTTCTTCAATGGAACTGTCAATTATCTAATTAACCACCCTTGAAAAATCAAGGGACGAATAATCATGGTATCTCACAAAAACATGTTTGCTCTACCACCGGGGCAGATCTAGAAAATCTATCCACTGGTGTCACCAAGCTCTGATCTTGCTAAACCTATGAAATTTTTGCTATGATGCATATGTATTATACTAGTACTTGTACGATGCCATTGTTGTTGTAGGACGCTATTGATTGTACTGTAGATCTGGCCCGGCTACCCCGCCAGGTGTAAGAGATGTTTGGAGAAAAGAGCAAATAAAGACCAGTTTTCATGGTGCTCTAAACTATTCTTTTTATCTTTTTTGAGAAAGGGGTAGCAATGTTCCTCTTATTTGTACCTAAAAAACGAAAAGGACATGGCGCCCAATAACTGCAAGCGAGATATAAAAAGAAAACGAATGAAATTGGAAGGCTACTACTATGTTAGTAAGAAATAATAATAATAATAATAATAGCTATAATGTCCTATACTTTCATGATAGTAACTACTACGACTTACGCAAAAACAATAGTAAAACCATAAATCACCGATGGAACTGATGACTATGCCGGCAGCTGCAAGAATCCACCCTTGAGCGCAACTGTAGTTGCAAGGAATCTAGCGGTGAATACAGCAATGGTCCCTGTGTATAGAGAGAGATGCTGAGCAAGGCGATTCACAGCAAGCAGGACGATGTGAAAAGTAAGCAAGACATGGAGGAGAACGAAGCAGAGTCGTCTCGATCTCATCTGGACTAGATGCTGCCACGCGTCCAGTTGAATGTGCAGTTTGCAATTGCGTACGTATGGACAGACACAGACACAGACACAGGACAGGAGCAGAATGGAGAGGAAAGTGTCAGGTCGGACCTGGTCGCGTCAACGGAGCTTACCAGAACAGCAGTGACCACACACGTACGTAAATGCATAATGGAGTGATCTGCCGTCCCCTGTAATCCAACGCCTAGGACGACAGCGGTTTTATTTTTGTTAATTTAATTAAGCTTCTCTTAGAGCATCTCTAAGAGGTACTTAAAACAACCGGTTTGTTCTTCTGTCAATAAAAAGAAAAACAAAAACAGCTCTCCAACGGTTTTGTATCTCAACTCCTAAATATAGATAAAATAAAGACTTCGTAGATCTATTCATCAACTTCATAAAAAAACATGTCTTTTCCACGCTCGCTATCGGTCCATGTGCCCCAGGCCATCTTGACCCCCCCGGTTTCCCATGTCTAGTTTTAATTTTTAAAAGCTAACAACTGTAAACGTACTGGTGAAAGACAAAAAAAAAATTCCTATTTATTTTGTTCACTTAGCATAGATTTATCAAGTGTATTTTAAGGAGTTTGTGGAGCTGTTTTTTTATGAAATACTCCTATCAATTACACCGTTAATTTTGTATATAGCAATAAAAATAATTCAACAGGCACCACCTGTGCACATGACAGTGTGGACGTATGAAAGTGATTGGCCCATGGATTCACCGTTCCCGTTTTGGATGTTGGCTTTGGATTTTTTTTTTATCAACAGGAGGGATAAGCGCCTACTGAACTTTATTAACAGAAGAACAGGTATACAATAAAAGAGTTTAAGAAACAAAAAAGAGACAAACTCCATAAATAAATTTGAGGGAAGTATTTATTTTTTTGCCCCATGGATAACGATGGCAAACTCTTTTCTGAAGACAATTCAGACTCTCCAAAGTAGGTTGAGCTCTTGGGAAAATGGCATCATTGCAAACTATCCAGATGCTCCAACAAAGGAGAATAATTATCTCCATGAAGAAGAGAACTCGTAGCTATCTTTTGAATTTTGCAAATACTTCAAAAGGTGACTTAACAAATTACCAACAAGCAACTGCAAATGGGAAATGCAAAAACAGGTGGCCCAAACACTTAATGATCAAGAGGGCAAAGGACATAGGAGTAGGGCTACAATTCCATGTGCCGCCTCTTTATCAAATTTCTTATGCTAAGACAATCTTTTAGGAGGAGCTAGAAAAAAACTTTATGCTTTGGTTGGAGCATTTCCTGAGTTAGGAGAACACTGCAGGAGTAGTAGCATGACCAATGAGTGCTTTGTAAGCTTTACTGGAAGAGAAAATGGAGGATCCCCAAATGTGTGTCCAGTGATCTGTGTTATCTGACGGAATAATCTGATCCATAAGAAATTGTAACTCGTTGATTTTTTTTTGAGCATAACTCGTTGAATTGTTGGAAAGCCATAGCAGAAAGGGGAAGGTTGAAGAGAGAATGAGGGTGCACAGTTTCCTTTACTTTCTTGAAGTTTAAGGTCTGCTGCTTAGAAAAGGAGAAGAGTTTCAGATATATATCTGTGCTTGGGAACCTACTGCCCCCAAAGTTCTTCCCAGAAGCTACAAGTCCAGCCATCTTGAAGTACAACCGAAGCCAAACCTTTATAAGTATCCAACGACTGATGAATATCTCGCCACCAAAAGGAGCCTCTTCGGATATGATTGGATAACCTATTGCTTCTATAGTAGCAGTCCCAAATTAAATTCACCAATGTGATGTCCAATCTATTGAAAAAAGACGCAGCGGCATAAGCTTCAGTGCATTTGTTGCAAGAAAATCAAGCAAAAAGAAACTAGAGTTGCTTGAAAGATGGCCAATATACACATATCGCCCTTACAACAGCATGACCGGTGTATACATTGCTCTTAGACCAAAAAAATAGCTGATAGCTTGACATTGTTGCTTTTGTTGTCATGTGTTTTTAAAACTCGCATATGCTTCGCTAAAAAAACAGGGGGCATATGTTGACAATAAAAAGGGTCAGGAGAGGAGCGTTCACTTGAGAGGTTGAGATGTTGGAAAAGGTTTTCTACTAGCATAAGACCACCCCTCTATATAAATAGCTAAAGAGGATCACGACCGATTGAGGTATCCAATACACAATTGTCAAAACTATTCTACCTTACTTTTATTCCTAAATCCTATGCCTTCCAATCCTTGCTGTCCAACACTTCTCTCGACAAGATTTGCCGGCATTCTAGGTGACCTTGCTGATCCTAGAACACCCCCGCCGTACTCCGATGGTTCTTCCCGATAGTTGTTCGTGGGTTTATTGGACAAAGAACGAGTGTTGAATCAGCCTCATACCTGCTCATTGGTATCGCCGTTAGGATCTCTATTCACTGCGTATCTAGGCCATGTACTACCGCGGACGATCTAGCCCGACCAGTATGTGACCGAAGTCAGTGTCAACAGGAGTCCTTCACTTATCATGCCTAGAGAGAAGCATAGTAGTAAGCTCCTTTAGGGTCTCAAAAAGCTTACGGAATATTTGTGATTGTCAGGAGCAATGTAAATGGAATCCATACCATTGAGACATCTCATTTGTGAAGTATAACAAGTTGTTAACACTACAGTGCATTCCATTTCAGTACACCCAAAAAAGTGTCCAAATATTTTATATCTTTACTAGAGACGGGCATAGACATGATGCATCCCTCCAACAAAATTTCATACCAAACTCAACTTAATTAAAAAGATTAAAACAACAATTCTTTTCTTAGGAAATGGACGGATTTCTAGAAAACATCCCATAATTGCTCAAAACTCAATTTGTCACATGGCGGAGTGGGCGTTCGATGCTTTTGCTTGGGCGCTGGCCACTGGGCAAGTCAGTCAGTCACATGGGCTGCAGGCATCCGATATTTTCCTGGCCCCAGTCTAGGGCAAGTTGACCAAAACGCTACAGCGACGTCACAATCACTGTCACAGCTCCAGCTAACCACCGAGGAACAGGAAGGAGAGGAAAGGAGGAGAGAAGTGATTAAGCAAGATCCATGGCGGCCGTGCTGGAGAGCGCATCGACTGGGGTGATGAACTCTGTGATAGAGAAGCTGGGTGCTCTAATGGGGGAGCAGTACGAGAAGCACAGGGCCGTGCGCAGGGACGTGGCGTTCCTCAAGGACGAGCTCAGCAGCATGCACGCTGTCCTCAACAAGCTCGCCAACATGGAGGAGCTTGACCCGCAGACGGTGGAGTGGAGGAACCAAGTGATGGGCATGGCATTTGACATCGAGGATTCCATCGACGACTTCGTGCATCAGGTAGGTGAGGATGCCACCAGCACTGGTGATTTTGGCTTCGTCGCCAAGATCCGCCAGTATGTCAATGAGCTGAGGCTGCGCCATCACTTTACCAAGCAAATCCAAGAGCTCAAGAGTCGGGTGATTGAAGTCAGTGAGCGCCGTAAAAGGTACAAGCTTGACGAAGCTGCGGCCTCTAGCTCTAGCTTTGTAACTGTTGACCCTCGCATGGCTGCGCTATATACAGAGGCGGGCAGCCTTGTCGGCATAGAAGGTCCAGTGGACGATATTGTCAAGTTGGTAGACAAGAAGGAAGGCGATGCATCAACATCACCACAGGGTCTGAGAGTGGTAGCCATTGTTGGGTTTGGAGGTCTTGGCAAAACAACAGTAGCAAATAAAGTGTACCGTAAGATTCGAGGGCAATACGACTGTGAGGTGTTTGTGTCAGTGTCTCAAAGACCAGATCTGTTGAAGCTCCTTGGTAGGATCATCCACAAGGCTGGAATAATGACACAACTGAATCATGTCGTCGAAGTGGAAGACTTAATTGAAGGAATCAGAGGGTATCTGAAAAACTTAAGGTGCCTCTCAATACTTGATTGCTTCTTTTCATGCTATACCAAACTAGCTGATTGACATGTACAATTTGTATAGGCAAAGTATTGAGCTTAGTTTAATTTAAATTTCCTATGACAAACTATTCTTTGGTTGCCGGAATCTTCATGTTATGCCAGCTAAAAATACTTGTTGTCTAGCTAGCGTAAAGTAGTACAAATGTTTAATTTAGTAAATGCTTTGTAATTCTGAACTTCATACAGAAATAACACATGTGAAAGATTACAATAGATGTAATGGTTTGAAAAAGTGACTGAAATGTAAAGAAATTTAAGGCACCATGGAAACTAACTCTGATCAACACTTTAACATATTATTTGCTCCAGGCCTGAAAAAAAATGCTATGTGAAAGGGAAGAAGTACCCCCGCAGATTGAGTCATATATGGGGAGTGAAAAAAAGAGAGAGGAGAGAGTGGAGAGTGGGCTGTCTTTCTTCCAAACCATACTTGGTGACAGGTTTACTAGGCCCTTTAAGTTCAACTCATAATCATTAGCTAGGTATTCAAGTAGCAATATGGCGGGTGGGAAAGTGCTAAACCCCCTAACAATAGCCCCATCTTCAGTGAGTAATTAGTTCTTTACCTCCCTTTTAACTCCCTGCAGCTGTCTGCTGTGGGGGAGAGCGCAACTCGCGCATGTAAGGTTTACTAGGCCCTTTGTGTTCAAGTCATAATCCATAATCCATTAGCTAGGTACTCAAGTAGCAATATAATGCCTGTTTACAAGAACTTAGGCCACTACATTGTATCCTCTGTTTGATTCCATGAATTACTTTTGAGCCAGGATAAATGCTGATATCTACATCGTGTAAGGACAGTAGAGTTTTCTTATTCAGAATATGAGAGAAATGTGATTATTCTCTTGGATTATTTGAATATGTTTATCTGAATTTCAATTCAAACTAAACACTCATTTCGATTTTGTGAATATTGCAGTTACTTTTTTGTTATTGATGATATATGGGATACATCAGTGTGGGATATTCTTCGTTGTGCCTTGCCAGATAATCATAAAGGGAGCAGAGTAATCACAACTACACGAATTGAGACAGTTGCTAAGGCATGCTGTAGCTACCGACCTGAGTTCATTTACAAGATGAAACCTCTTGATGATGAGAACTCAGCCAAATTATTTTTTAGCAGAGTTGGATATGTTTGTGCTCAGCCACTGAAAGAGATCTCAGACGAAATATTACGAAAGTGCGGTGGTCTCCCATTAGCCATTATAAGCATTGGCAGCCTTTTGGCTAGCCAACCATCCAGATCAAGGGAGCAATGGAAGTTTGTGTGCAGTTCACTAAGGTCAAATTTGAGAGAGAATCCAACTTTAGAGGGAATGAGACAAGTACTGAAACTTAGCTACAACAATCTTCCTCTCCATCTGAAGACATGCTTGCTATATATCGGCATGTATCCAGAGGATCACTGCATTGAAAAGGTGGATCTGGTGAGGCTATGGGTTGCTGAAGGTTTTGTCGCTAACTTATATGATGAAGATGCAGAGAAAGTTGCTGGAACTTACTTCAATGAACTTGTTAACAGGAGTATGATCCAACCTACATACACGGGCTACAATGGTGAGGTGTCGGGGTGCAAAGTGCATGACATGATTCTTGATCTAATTAGACTGAAGTCAGAGGAAGAGAACTTCTTGAGTGTGGTAGACAATGCGAGTCACATGGCCCTATCTTCACAGAGCAAGGTTCGTCGGCTTTCCCTTCATTTGGGTTTTAGAGAAGATCAAGACACAGCTGTTGCAACAAGCTTAAGCATGTCACATATGCGCTCATTTGCTCTGTTTGGCAACACTTGCTTCGTACCTCCTATTTCTAAATTCAAGTACATCCGAGTGCTGAATCTGAAAGACTGGCGTACTGATGGGCATGACAGTATTGATCTTACCCCAATCTGCAAATTATTTCAGCTAAGGTATCTGAACGTTGGTAGGAAAGCGCACCTGCCAGCCCAAATCAGCAACCTGCAATGTTTGGAAACACTGGAACTGAATAAGCTTGATGGAGATGTGCCGTCAGATATTGTCCATTTGCCTTACCTGCTGCATTTCGTTGTTCCTTCTGGTAAACGGCTACCAGACGGAATTTGTGTGATGAGGTCCCTACGTACTCTGAGGTGCTTCGATGTGGGCTTGAACTCGGTGGACAATTTTAAGGGCATTGCTGAACTTCTGAATGTTAGGGATCTCGTGATTTCGTGCAGCGGCACCGCCCCTCAGCAAGGAAACATGGACACCTTGTGGTGTTCTATTCCCAAACTTATCAGTTGCAAACTGAGGGCTCTAACTTTTCCATCCTTCCCCGCTAATCTGCCTCCTCCGATTGTTGGATTAGATCGTTTGGCCATTTCTCAAGCCGAGCACCATCTTGAGGTACTTGAGGTTTCTTCGAGTTTGTTTCCCCAGGTTCCAAGCTGGATTGGTCAACATTGTAGTCGGCTCTCAGTTTTATCACTCACAGTTAACATGCTGAGGCAGGATGACGTTGATCTGCTTGTCCAGTTACCAAACCTGTTGGACCTGAAGCTAAACATTCGGAAATGTCCAAAAGAAAGAATCCTCATTGACAGCAGCCGAGTGGCATTCCCAGCTCTCAAGTTGTTCACATTCTCCTGTTTCGCGCCATGCCTCTTCTTTGGGGCAGGGGCGCTGCCCAATCTCCATACGCTCACCCTGAACCACCATGGGCGCGGACTGGAGAATGTGAAGGTACTTGAAGGCATCCAGCACCTGCTGAACCTCAAGGAAGTCCATGTTGTCTTCACCAACGGTTATTGTGGTGGTAAAGCAATGCCAGGTATAACGGAAGCCGATGCCGAGGCTACATACAGGGATGCCATCAGCATGCACCCAAGGAAGAGTGGCATCAAGATCTTGGTTAACCTTTTCTGCTTAGTAATGCAACCCTCGGCTTTCTATTATGACTCTGACGACGGCGCGTTTGTGGAGAGCCAGTAACAGTCTAAGGTACCCAAATGCCACCAATCTATCCTCCGTTTCTTTTGTTTACATACTCGAGTTCTTTCACATGCATGTTTTGCTTTGAATCGATGGTGGTATTACTATTCAAAGCTAAATCCATGGCCATTTGCGCGCAAGTGCGTGCAAATTAATCTTCTTCTCAAACGAGAATGTTCATTTGATGGGTACAGGAAGTTATTACTGAGTTGATTCTTCCTTTGAATTGTTTGCAGTTGGTAAGTTCATGCCATTGCCATGTATGATCATGGGTGCTGTAACGGAGAACGTAATGTTTACAGCCAAGTCTCGGACTCATGGGCTGCAGCCAAGCAAGCGCACCAAGGCCCAACGTCGGAACCATGGCACCTAAAAAAGGTCAGCCCAAGTGACTAGAGGAGACATGCATGTGTTACCTAGGGTCTGTTTGGCACAAGCTCATAACAGCTGTTATGAGCTGTTTTATTTTTCAAACACTTATTTTCAAAACAACTTCATCCATTTCCCCCCCTCTCACAAAAACACGTGTTGAGATAAAGCTGAAAGAAGTAGCTTATCCTAACTCTCTCCTTCATTTCTCTCTCCTATCCATGTATGAAGTTGTTGGTGAATCTGTTTTGCCAAACAGTTTTTTCAAACAGAGCTCAGCTTCACCTAGAAAGTTGCTCTTTACCAGTGAAGTTGAGCTGTGTCAAACAAGCCCCAAATATCGCAAGGCTCTTTTATGCCTACATTTCAAACTAGCACGGTTGCATTCAAACTATTTATATTATAAATTGATAATTTCAAAACTTATTATGTTATTTAGTGCACGTGTAACAAATTATATTGTAAACTTTATAATTGTTTATTTACTGAATTGATAAATAGTTTTTATCAGTTTGTATATAAAATTTTTGTTCAACGTATCCTATGGTAATATCATAAATCCGTCACTGTGTTACCATTTTGGCCGCTGTCTTTGTCCGGATGTATATGGTGTTTTTGGTTCTTAGTTCAGCCTCTCTTGGCTCACTTCATTCATATACTCAGAAAATAAGCACATTTGGTTGCTTGCAGTGGCGGAGCTAGAGAAGCCAAGCAACCATGGCTTCACGATTTCAGCTTGACTCCACCCATGCAAGTATACGGTCTGATCCTAGTCCCGTGAAGACGGCTAAAACGAGCTTCACTGCAGAGCATGGTCCGACAGATCCAATTTTAGAGGATGGGCCCACATGTCATCCTCACATGTTAGACAAGTTTCATCTGCTAATGCAAGTAACCAAACAACATCGTTGTTTTTTTCCCCATCCGCTCATGAGACTTCACCAAACTCCTTCTTTTGCTCATGCATGATATACAACACAAACCCCATTCAGCAACCGAACGTACCCATAAGGCCTTATTTGGATGCATATGTATTCACTTCAATCCATATGTGTTGGAGTGAAATGGAATGAAACTTAGTTTAATTACACTCCAATCCACTTCAACACATGTGGATTGAGATGAATACATACGTATCCAAACAAGGCCTAAAGGAGAGGGATGTGAATTTCCTAAAAAATGTAGAGATGGGAGAGATTAAGTTTAAACATATTCGTGTGTTGCTCTCCCTTCTATGTTTCCCATCAACACTTATCAGATTAAACTGTTCCCTGCTCCAATTCGAAAATCCCATTATCCCAATTTGAAAATCCCATTATCCCATCGATCTAACTTTGGTGTGTTGTGTTCGAGATTAGCCGTTATAGATTTAATTTACAATAGTACAGGCTTGCCCTGACAGAGTTTTTTCTAACAATAGTACAGGCCTGGCGATCAGGCAAATAGATACATGCATGGAGGAACAAAATTCTGTTCGACGTGCGTGGCCGTGGCGCAACGCAACAACCAAGGCGAAGGAGAACGAACCCGCAGCCCAAGCCCAAAGGGGAAACGACTAAGGGCCCGTTCAATTACATTAAAACCGGTCCAGGAATTATTTCAACTGATAAAGCTTATACAAATTGAGCTAGCCGGGGATTTTCTCAGGTGGTGATTTTTTATTTTTGTTTCTTTGTATTTTGTATGTATGTAATTGTTTATCCATTGCTGAACCTCTGAATGCAACTTTCTTTTTATTTTTTGTTTGTTTGCTTATTTTTACTCTTCAAAGTTCTTTTTAATTTTTTGTTTGCTTTTTCTTATTTTTGTGTTTGTATTTTGTACGTATGTAATTGTTTAAGCATTGCTGAACTTCTGAATGTTAGGGATCTTGTGATTTCGTGCAGCGGTACCGCCCCTCAGCAATCTGCCTCCTCCGATTGTTGGATTAGACCATTTGGCCATCTGAGATATTTTCCAAGCTTTTGCTGTGTCGTTAGGATTAACTGGGACCTTTAATTAGTAACCGTAAGATAAAATAGCCATTGGTTCTTTGTTTCTCAAATTGTCAATGAACTAACTTGAGTGTGCATATACATAAAGATTTCAAAATGTGACCCAGTAAAAATACAGAAAACGTAGGCTATGTTCCACACTTGCATCTTCATGTTGTCAAGCCTGATTTTGCGAACCCTATTTCGTCGTCGACAAAGCCTAGCATAGGCAGTTAGGCCACTAGGCTCTCCTGCTGATAATATTACTGCCAGGAATCTTCTGCAGAGAAAGCCTCCTCATAACATTGCAGCTTATTTGTTTACAAAGTGTACCTTGTTTATATATGCTCTACAGCTGCTATATTTCATTAACGGTAGGAATAAAGTTACAGCCTGCAAGACAAATAAAAAGGACATAGAAAGGTACAAATAGTACTACACATTAATATTAATAATAATTATAATAATAAATAAAATTATCAACGAACTGGTTAGTGCAGTGCTACATACCTCATCAGTTTCCATTCAGATACGCATCCTTGATTCCGTGCAGCCTTGCAGCCACCTCCTGCATGTCCATGCGCTCATTTGGGGATGGATTAGCACAGCGAAGTCCATTGTTTAGCACTGAAATTAAACATTCCAATCTTTTCTGCGTCATGGCTGATGAAGTTTGTTGCAATACATCATCATGCTCTTCAAGTAGTTCAGGATCTACAATCTGTGCAATCCTGTCAGGGAAGTTCATCTCAACGAATCTTGCAATATTGACCCCATCTTTGAACATATCGTCAGTAGGCCTCTTCCGTATAAATATCTCAAGCAGAACAATTCCAAAGCTGTAAACGTCTCCAACACTCGAAACTTCGCCTGTTCCCGCACACTCTGTAGATTGCATAATAGAATTATTTAGTTCAAAGATAACAGTACATGAGACTAATTGGGTAGTATGCAAATATGAGTTACCTGGGGCGATGTATCCACTTGTTCCCTTTATAGCAACTGAAGAAGTCGAGATTGAGTCACCAGAATACGGTGTTCCTGAGCCAACCTTGAATCTTGCAAGACCAAAGTCTCCAATATGTGCTGTCATATTGTCGTCCAAAAGAATATTGCTAGGCTTCAGATCACAATGAACAATGGTTCCTTGGTTGTTATGGTGGAGGTATTCCAATGCATCTGCAACATTTGTCACAATGTTTAACCTTTGAGCCAGTGTAATGTAGCTAGGCGTTGAGGTGTTTGCATCACCTCGAGTCAAGTATAACAATGAATGCAAATCCCCTCGTTGCATGAACTTATAGACTAAAGCTTTGAAATCATTTCCCCTGGAATCAATACTTGAGCATGCTGTTAAGATTGGAACTATATTTCGATGGCGCACATTTCTTAGAGCATTACACTCTGCAATGAAACTCTTCTGTGCTCCCCTCGTGTCCAGGCTGAAAACTTTGACAGCAACCACGATTCTATCTGGGAACAGTTCTTGGTATACGGAAGAATATCTTCCTTTCCCAATTAACTTTGATGTGGAGAATCCATCAGTTGCTCTTGCAAGATCGTTGTATGAAACTTTGGGAAACTGGTTATTAATTGATGCCAAGGACAGAGATTTTCTCTTCTGTTTACCTCTCCAAAGTAACACTACACTTATGACTATGGCAAGTGACATAATGCTGGCTAAAATGATCACCAACTTTTGCACAATGGAATGCTTGTGCTTTCTTGAATCCAAAGGCATCATAGGACATGCGAAGGTGCATCTTTGGTTCCCCACCACAAAGCCCTGAGTTACCATCAATCTGGACATCTGTTACATTACTGAAGGTCCCGTTTGTCGGAACCTCACCTTCTAGGTGATTGAATGACAAATCTAGTAGCTCAAGAAGTTGTAGGCTGCCAAGAGACACTGGTATTGATCCAGTCAAGTTATTGTGTGACAAGTTGAGAACTTGTAGGCTACTTGTATTGCCTAATGAAGTTGGGATGCTTCCGTTGAAACTATTGTGGCCCAGTTCCATATGGGTCGTTCCATATCAATCAAGCTTTCACAATTTCCCAATGTTCTTGGAATTTCTCCAGACAGATTGTTTGTTGAAAGATGTAAAATGGTGAGTTGCTTTGCATTGCCAATGTCAGGATGAAGTGGTCCATCTAGGTTGTTGAAAGAAAACCTAATCGTCATTAATGTCGGAATATTGAAGAGCTCCTTTGGTATGCTGCCATGAAGACTGTTGTAGGAAATGCTTAGTACTTCAAGCATCTGGAGGTTGCTCAAGCTTTGGAGTATGTGCCCCTTCAATTGGTTCGATTGTAGATAGAGCTCTACTAGTTGAGACAGATTTGAAAGGGATGATGGAACGATCCCTGTGAAGAAATTGTTGCCTATTGACACTTTCTGCAGATTTTTCATAGCCCCAAGCCATGCCGGAACCACACCTGTAAACTGATTCCTTCCCAATTGTACAACCAACAAGTTACCAAGGTTTGCTATACTGGAAGGAAAATCCCCTGATAGTTGGTTTCCTGACAAGTGTAGATACTGGAGCTCACTGAAAAGGTTTCCTAATAATATTTGCAAAGTGCCTTCTAGACGATTGTCTACTGCCGAGAACATCCGTAGCCCAGTGCAATTAGCTAAGTTCTTCATAAACTCCAGATCTTGCTTGTTTTTTCCACGGAGTTTATTTACCTCGATGTTAAGCCAAGATAGTTGAGAAAGTTTGCCGATAGAGCCAGGCACCACACCACTGAAACTATTCCATGATATGTCAATGAAGATGGCACAAGACGAAATCTGCACCAACAGACCTGGCTTATTATTTTGCCACGTGTCCTGCAATTCCAACGTTTGATCTTTCCGTTCGTTCGGCTGGGCTAAAATCGGCTTGCTAGGCTGGTTTTAGCTGGGCTGATCAGCCCAGCCGTTCGGCAGCCCAGGTCTAGCCGGTCGGCTGACCTAAAAGCCTACCACCCGGCCGCATTCTGCTCCCTCCCTCATTCCGTTCCCCAGCTCGCCGTGCGGCTAGGGTTTGCGCTCGCTCGCCCCTCATCCTCTTTTCTCCGCGCAGGCCACGGCGGCTGTGTGCGCCGCTTCGCCGTGCCTGCCGCGGCGGCTGTCAGCGGATCCCTCCCCGCCCGCCTCTCTACGCCGTGTGGGTGCCCCCTCGCCGTCGACACCCTCTGCGGCGACCGTGAGCTCCGCATCCCTCCCAGAACCCGCCACCATCGACGCCCATCCGCCGCCAACAAGGTAGCCCCGGATATGAGGCCGCCATAGTCCCCTGCGTCCGGATCTGACCCTCACGTGCTTGTGTTTCAGGTTTACCCCGAGCGCCACCCACGGATCCGCCTCCCAGCTCGCCTGAATCGCCTCCCGCCTCGCCGGATCCATGCCTCAGTTCCATGCCACAACCTGCCACCTCGTCGGATCCGAGGACCCAAGGTTCGTTCTCTTGCACCCGCATCCGTGTTCACTTCTTTTTCGTAGCGCAACGCTCTGATTCGATCTATCACTGATGCTCTTTACTAACGCTACAGCGATTTTCTGCACGTGCGAACCACTGCTGCTCAACGCTGCCCACACTGGCAGCGTCCTCCACTTCATCGTGCTCTTCACCTGAAGCCAGGCACTACAATCTCTGTTCAAAATGCGGCAAGCGTTTTGCCAAGGCAAGTCCCCATTTCTTACGCCCTAACTCTGCTATTTGTAACTCTTAGAACTACTTCATTTTTCTTATATGTTGGATACAACAACATCATACCATACATTTTAAATATGGCAACAGATGATCACTCCTCGTGCTAACTAGGATGACATCACCACGAGAACCTTTCTAGACCTAGTGATCGGACAGAAAAACCTAATGCACTGGAACCAGAAAGGCCTAACAACTATCGGATGGGAAAATGTGTATCCAGCCTTCAGAGAGGCAACGGGGTTGGTGTGGGACAAGAAACAACTGCAGAACAAGTTCAATGAGCTGAAGCGGCAATTTTTTCGTTGGCGCGACCTTCAAACCCACACTAGGCTAGGCCGTGACCCGAATACTGGAGGCGTGACAGCTGACCCCTCATTTTTTGAGGATGGCAACGGGATACTAACTGTAACACCCTCGGTGTTACGCCCTAAACCAACTACTAAATCATGTCATGAGCATCATGTTTGTGTAATAATGCACGTGATAGAAGTTGTTGATAAATTTCTTGTAGCCTAAAATGATCAATAAAAATGTTAAATCAATGTTGATGCAATAGCTCGTGTATATCAAGTAGGGTTTAAAACCAATTTTTAGTAAGCAAAAATACTATAGAACATGTGTGTGACACTAAAATAAAGTTTAAAGTACAAACTTTATAGATAATAATGCAACTCTTGCTGTAGAAAAATAATGTTACTAGCTAGTATTTCTAATAGTCTAGAAATGGAACTTGAAAACAAATGCAGCTCAAGACTTAGAAAAATTCCTAAGATGAGCAAAGTGTGATAAAGCCATGTTTGGAAAATTATTCTAAGAAATTGAGTTAAAAAGGGGTGTCTTGTTGTAGCTCTTATTGATAGCCTAAGGTGCCCTCTTTAGAGTAGTGAAGATGGATTGGTTCAAAATTGAATCGTTTAGTTTTTACGGGCGCTTTAAAATTCGTGCGCGTACTCAGTCTCGGGCCACCAGGCTCGGGCGCGTGGTCACCACGCGTGGCTATTCTGCGTCGTTGAGTGGCTGTGCCATGCACGCGCGTGCTTGGCCGCACACTGGCCGACCGAGGCAGCTCTTGGTCTGGCAGTGGCCTGGCCGCGGCTTGGCCGCTCTGGCCGCACCGCTTGCAGCCAGCCGTAGGCCGCCGTGCCCCACCGGCCCTCTTTGTGCCTGACCGCCACTGCCACCACGGCTGTTGCTGATGCTGCTGCTGCCCTCCATGTCGCGCGTCGTGACACAATCGCGGTCGCAGTCGCTGCCGCTGCCGCTGCCGTCGTGTCACTCCCGTACTCGCGTCTGCTCGCTGCATCACGCTGCCCCCTCCCTGGCCCGGTTGGGTGCCATCCACACGTGGTCGTGCACGCCATCGTCACGCTTGTCCCCTCGTGCTTGGACGTAGGTCCCTCGGTCGCGTCAACCGCGTCCAGCCAAGGCTTGCCTCGTCGAGTCACCGGCCGCACCCCATCTCTCTCTCTTTTTCCTTCTCTCTGCTGCCACCGCCGAGCCGTACCAACGCACCTGCCTGCGAGGGGTCGTCTCCCATCAATTCCATGCACCCACAGCTCCGCCCTCACCTCCCTCTCCAGCCGTCCCCACCCCGCCTTGATTACGGCCAGGCCGACCTCTAATTTTGGAGCTTTGCTCCCACCACCGCGCCATTAAGACCTAGCCCGCCTCACCGTGGCTAGCTCCAATCTCGCCATCTCGCGTCGAATTGGCCGCATCACTAGCCCCGCCTAGAACCCCACTTCGTCGTGCGCACCCAAGTCGCAGCCCTATAGCCACCTCCACACCACTGACACGGTCGTGTCGCTGCGGTTCGCCGTCGAGCTCGCCGCGAGCACGCGGCTAGACTTGCTCGGGGTGTCTCTGGCCAGGCCACCACCATGGGTAGGATCGTGGTGCATCACTGATGCTTACCCGTCACTTCTATTATCTGTTGCATGTTGTGGCTCACCAGAACGCGGTTGCCGCCGCCGCAGCTCGCCCACCGTCTAGGAGAGCCCGCTCTACTTCACCTTCGTTCATGCAACCACCGCCCATCGTCGCGCGTCGGCCCATAGGTGAGCATCGGTCCCATAGCTAGGTCTGCAAGGGTCCCAGTTGGCTAGCGTAATGGGGCCGTACCGGTCCACACCATGCTGGTGAGCGCAGGGTCGCAGGAACCTCCCCGAAGCGAAGACAGCTTCTTTCAGGGTCTTTCATGCATAAGTGCTGATTGAGTAAATAGGGCGAATAGTGTCTACGAGAATAGTAGGAAGCTCGGGGGCGTTTTCGCTAAAACGCCAGCGCGCGCACGGGCTCCCCGCCGTGGGCCACCTCAGCGCGTGGGTCGCGCCTCGTGTGGGCTGCGTTGGGCCAGTTTGGTTCGTCTTTTTAGTAGAGAATTAGAAATGGTTTTGTATTTTTACTTAAGAACCAGTTTTGTGTAATTAATCTAAAATCATGTACATGTCCAAAAATTATGAAACAAATTTTGTTAGGTTCCTAAAATTGTGATCTGTCTGCTAGTATATTTTGTTTACATAGTTTTATAATATTTCTAGGAGTTATCTAATTAATGTAAGATGCATAATATTGTAAGATATAAACTTATAGGAATTTTTGTGATGAATTGGTGATAGTGGCTCTATAACTTTTACAGAAAATCCCAAAATTATTAGACGCTCACTGTAATTTTTGTAGTTCCATAATAATCATTTTGCTAGGGTAGCTAAATGAGCCCTAGTTCAAAAATATATATTTAATCAATAAAATGCCAAAGCACATTGGGATTTTAAAACTAGAACATTTTTTTCGGAGACAAAGCCTTACTTGACGATGTGGATACGTAGACCAGTACATTACTCATTCAATCTGGCTCGTTAGTTTGCGAAGTGTAATCGTATATTTAAGAGTTGTGATTACCGTTGATTAATTGCGCCTCTGCGTTGTATCCACGTATATCATAATAGGAACAACGATGGATCATGGAGTCGACTTAAGTAGCGGAAAAGATGATGCCTTGATGATCGTGTCACTTTGATGGAATGCTAACTTTTGGTTATATCTTACCCAGACAAGCCCCGGTGCATAACCCCTATTATTTTGTACTTTATGTTAAGCTTGTGCATTAAGTTTTAAAGAGTTGAATAAAAACCACTTGCATATATATATATATCCTATGAGTCCTACTAGTATGTCAGGATCGTATAGATTGCTATGCTATAGGATCCAGAAGAAGTCGAGTGATTACCTATCACTCGCAAGAGATAGGAAAGATATTATTGTTACTATATTACTATCACATGAAATATATATGGATGATAATTGGAGACCGGGCAGAA